ATAAGTGATTAAGTATTGAAAGGAAGTTGTGTGAAGTATTAGACTTTAATGTTGGAAGAAGTTGTGATGATTTTAAACCTTGTATTTCATTTACTTCTTGATTTTGTCAATTAAGATGTTAATACCTGTTGTGAGAACATGTAAAATTTAAGATGACATTATCTCAGTTAACAAATGGTAAGAATCACATTTGATTTCATGGATGAGAACATAGTTCATGGGGTTGAGTGCAAATAAATAGGGAAATAAACTTTGAAGGGTGTAGAATTAGAAGACTTTAGAGTGACAAGCTACAACCCCCAATTTGATTTATAGTTTTAGGTTCTGATACGAGTTGTTAGCCCCCTTGTTGAGGAAGAAGAGAGAACTCTAGAGTGAGAGCTAGTATCTTCCCTACATAACCGGTCTTCAAAACTATTCAAATTATAAATTAACAAATGTTCTTTATAGCTTCTTTAGTAAGGGTAAAAAATATTATTGCTCCTATTTGACACAACATAGTTAGAATACTTCCACAACAGAATTTCTATACTTGTTACTGATTCATGATAAAGAAAAAAATATATTTTATTTATATTGCCTTTATCTTCAAGTATTTAGTTAAGTTAATTAGTTATTTACTTTGTTTTTAATTATCAAAAAAATTAAAAAAAGAATCAAATTCTCATTCCTATTTTAGCATCTAGAGTTTATGTAAGAATATTTTGCTAAGTAAAAATTTGTTATCTAATTTCTTTGTTTTGTAAATTTGCATATTGTTATTTATCCCAGTGGGCTCGATATTCGGGGTTTAATCAAAAGGTCCTATATTACTTAATAACGATACACATACTTGCATAGTATCCCATATTTAAATATTATAACTTTATTCTTATTTACTTCATAATGAAAAATTTACCTAGCTTTTGCTTGGGATCAAGTTTTTGGTTTTATTGCAAAGAAAGAATCTTTATTAAAGGAAATTAAGCATATAATCGCATACATCAGGATCAAGTAGCCAGGCTAGAACTAGATTTTGGCATTTTTGGCCAATTGTTCGGCCTTTATAAGCTTATAAAAAAGGCCAAAAAAGAAGAAATAAAACACACTGTTCCTTGAAGTGTCCAAGGTCCCTTGATATACTATTATGACATCTTCGAAGTTCTCTTGGTCTACTGTTGTGCCACTTTTGGAATTCCCTTGGTTTCTTACCGTGCCTCTGAAGTTCTCTTGGTCTGATGTTCTGCCACCCTTAAAGTTCCATTTCACTATTTTTGTGCTTTTTTGTGTTGTTATTGACTAATATTGAAGCATATAGCCTAATGTCGTGCCACCCTTAGAGTTTTTTTGGTATGTTGTTGTGCCACCTCCAGAGTTACCTTGGCCTACTATTCGACCACCTCTAGAGTTCCCATGGTCTAATATTGGCCACCCCTAGAGTTCCATTAACCTGTTGTTGTGTTTATTTCCGTGTTGCGGTTGTGTAATATCAGAGTCCCTTGTCCAGCTTTTGTGCCACCCAGGAGTTCCCATGGTCTAATGTTGTGCCATCCCTAGAGTTCCATTAGTCTTTTGTTGTGTCTCAGCTTTTGTGCCACCATTGGATTGCCCTTGGTCTGCTGTTGTGCCACCTATAGAGTTCTCTTGACATGACATTATGCCACCTTGGAGTTCCTTAGGTCTACTTTCTTGCCACACCCGAAGCTCCCTTAGCATTTTGTGGTGCCTTTTTCTGTGATGCTATTATGTAATACCAAATTCTCTTGACCTACTATTGTGCCACCCTCGGAGTCCCTTGGCCTGTTGATGTGCCACCATGGAGTTACGTTGGCTTGCTGTTGTGCCCTTTTTACAGTTACGTTAAGCAGCCTTTAAAGATTTTTGCACTATTGTTAGCTTTCTAGAGGAGTTTTTCCACGACAATGTTGCTCCTTTTGGATTTACATTTTTTGGAGGAGATTTTCAGGGTTGTTGTTGCGCTTTCTAGAGGAGATTTCCTGAGTTGTTGTTGCACTTTCTAGAGGAGATTATTCACACATGGAGATGTCGATGTTTAGGAAATCACATCCCTTTAAAATTCAAATGAAGTAACAAAATTTTGGGGAGACGATACCGACAGTTTTTGAAGATGAGCCAAACCTTTTTAAGGGCATGAAAGACTGAGTTTGCATGAGCTTTGAGGAGTTGGAAGCTGCAATAATGTTCGTAGGCCATAGGTGCCAAAGTTGGGGGTTGGATGAGCTGTGAGCCACATAAGTTGTAGTTGGTCACATGGGCCATGATAGTGAGTTGTAATTACTTCAGTAAGTCATAGAGGCTAGAGTTGGAAGCTCTGTAAGCTGTGAGCCATATAGGTCGTACTTAGTCACATAGGATGTAGTGGAGAGTTGCAATGACATTAACTGGCCAGCAAGGCCAAAGGAGAAGATGCAAGGAAAGAACTTCAGGAGTCTGGAGAAAATCGTCTTAGCATGAGTATGGCGGTCGTAAGCTGCTGTTGTCAAATGTTATCATTGGATCATTAATATGGCATTTTTCTTTACCAAAATTAGGAGTATGATGTTATACTGGATTTAGGGTGTGTTGTTACACCATAAGTATGTTGTGAATCTATAAAGTACTTCGTTGCAACATGTGTCGTTACTCCACAAGGTTTATATACGTTGACGAGAAGCATGTGGTCGACGTTGGTCTACTACGGCCGATGAGTGGTGGTCGTTGTAGGTTGGAAGCTATGAAGGTGGGAAGTGATCACTAGTCCTTAGTCAATAACAACTTTAAAAATTGGCTCCT